ATTTCAATTGCAAATGGCACAGATATACACGCGTGGCAAATATATGAACGTGGTGGAAATGGAGATATGATGGTGGTAGCGGTGATGATGAAGATGAAGATGATGATGATGATGATGATGATGATGATGATGATGATGATGATGATGATGATGATGATGATGACAGATGTCACATCCGTGCTGCAAGGTGTAAGATCTGCGTGCCTTTTGCATAAGGTCATATGTGCGCCAAAGGTTGGGTGTCAACAGAGAAGTCCAAATGGGAAATCAGGCTTGCTCTGCTCACCTCTTTAGCCTCAACAGCACAGAATCTGCTTCGGCGATCTAGGCACCTAGGAAATAGCAATTCACAGGAGAGTGACAAACATAAAAAAGAAGTAGAGGATAATGGCAAAAACAAGGGTGAGGAAATAAAAAGCAGCAGTTCCATCTATGTTGTTTCTGCACAGTATGAGCATGACATTGATAAGTCAGCACATTTACAATTCTACTGTGCATAAGAATATGTTAGTGTCCCCCCTTTGGGAAAGGCCTAAGGGCAACTTTAGTCAGTGGCACTCCCCGAGTTGGGGGTGGGGGGCGGGGGGATAAGCGTTGTTGACAGATCAGAAAGCGAGTCCTGAATGAGAGAAGATTTTTGTCAGATGATGCATTCTAATTGTGTTTTCTGCTGTCTGTTCTCCTAAACCTCCACGTACCCCTTGACCCACCACGCGACACACCACGTCAAACGCCGCGTGACCCACCACGTGACCCACCATGTCATCCACTACGTGATCCACCACTTGACCCACCACGTGACCCACAACGTGACACACCGCGTGATACACCACGTGATCCACCATATCCACCAATTGACCCGTCACGTGACAAGGTGGAGGGGGCGGTCACGGTACAGCCGTTAGCGGAAGCTGTGCGAGGGTTCAAGAACTACTTCCTGAGGCTGAGACCAGGGCGGAACCACAGGAACCCTTGGTTTGCTGAATACTGGGAGGTGAGTGCTGTGTCTAGTTACATACACACACTTACACACACATACAGACACACACACACACACACACACACACACACACACATACACACACACACACATGCACTAAGTACTGGGATGCGGGTTCTGTATCTGGTCACGTACACACACACAAACACACACACTGAATACTGGGATGTGAGTGCTGTGTCTGCTTACAAACATACACACACACAGACACACACACACAGACACACACACACACACACACACACACACACATAGACACATAGACACACTTAGAAACACAGAAACAC